TTATGTTAAGCATTTGGGAATAGTACAGTGAATAAACGTACTGCAAGGCACTCCTTTCGAAAACTCAAGTCGGGAAATTTGTCCTTCCATGTTGAATTTAGTAGTGGATGACCACAGACCTTGAATAACAAAGCGCTGCAAAGAATAATTGAAGAGGACAGTTGTTTGACGGGTGGTGAAATTGAAAGGCAGTTTAATGTTTATGAAAAAATATAATTCGACTGCACTACCTGGCAAAACTTACCGGCTGATTAGAAAGGTTCAGAACACGCCTTTGGAATTTCAAAAGAAACAACGAGTGGCAAACTGTATGCCTCCTCACCGTTACACATCCGAATTTTTATTTTATTTTATAACCTTCGTTGAGAAGCCAAATCAATTTTACGTTCACAACCGCCAATGATCAACTCCGTATCCTTGTAATTTTGAACCCATCACAGAAGACAAAGGGAAGCCTGAATCAAGTATTGGTAGAAATTTGTCTTCTTACAGGACTTTGTGAAGGAGCTAACTAGTATTTGTTCTACATGGAGAGACAAACCATGAAAATATCCCATGGAAAGCCTGTCTTCAAGGTTACTCTAACCCATGATCTGTCTACAACTTAGGATATTTTACGTAAGCACTGCGGTCGCTGCGGAATTTGAATCTACTAGCCATCACTGGGATTCGAATCCGGTTCATCTCATTGGAAGGCGCGTGCTCTATCACCTGAACCACCCTTCTCATCATCCATATTTAATCGAATCCTAACTAATTTCAAAAACTTCGTCCCGTAGGACATTCCGAAGCGTTTCGAACATTGGTTGCTCATCGCAGAGGTAGACCAATTATTCACCTACGCAAGATTATGCTTTGTCTCTGGTGTAATCGTCAAATTGTTCACTGTTATCTACTTCCAATGAGATAAACAGAATCTGTACTCGCAGTAATTAGAAGGTATGCAAAGGAAGGAGCCAGCATTGGTGAATCACCAAGCTCTTGCATGACTATACCCGGCCGCAAGTCGGATGGGTGTTCTGGAATACAATATAGCGACTCGGTTGAGAGACTTTGCGCTATCCTCCTTACTTATCTGACGTTGTACCAAAAGATTATCACATAGTCTATTCCTTACATAATCATCTTCGTTGAAGATCCTTCACAAATAAAGCAGACTTGCTTCAAGCACTCGCGGACTTTTTTGGCATTCAAAACCCCTAGGTCTTACCACAAAAGGATTGCAGAGCTGGAAGCTCGTTGGTAGAAGGTGCAAAATGCCGATGGAGATTACTTTGAGGACCAACAATAGACATCCTTTTCCCTAAATCATCATTCATTTTATCCGTTAACTTGTTCCTAACTTTCTTAACACTATCAAATTTATGGCAATGTAGAACATTTTTGAAAATGTATAGTATCTCTCTTCAAAATCACAAATAAATTTTGTCAGCCTATTTGCTTACTTCTTTTTCTTAACAGTGTAACAGTATTATAACGAATTAAAACCCTACGATTCAATTTATCAGTTCACACTTCATATTTTATCTTCAAACTCGTTGTAATAATTGATATAAGTATTTATTTTCAAATTCGAAACAAAATTCATCATGTAATAGAAAACTTTTATTAAGCACAATTACATCTTATAAACTAAATCAACATTTATGTACATAATCATTAGTAAAGAAATACAATCAATAAGATTAAAAAAGAATTTCAGCTCATAAAATTTAAAATATTGAAAGCAATTGCTTTAATTAATAAAGTTGATATTAATATTATGGATTAAAATATTTAAATTTTCGAATTCATGACTTTTCAAATTAAATTTTTATGTCTCATAATTGCTTTTAATGTTTTATGAAATATCGAATATTTGTGTTTTCCATGCATTTAACATTATCTTTTTCATGTAAAGTGTAAGGTTTTTCTCATGTTGATTCAAAAATTTCAATGACAACACTGCAACACATAAATACCAACAGGCAGTATTCATCATTTAGACGAATAATTTTTTTTTACTCATTTAAAAAAATTTCGATTAATTTTTTAATGAGAAATATCAATTTTTTTTAATTTTTAGCAAAATAATTATTTTATTTCTTCAAAATTTTTTCAATTCATTGAAAGATTTGCAAAAAATAAAAATAAAAACAGTTTATGTTTGCCAGGAGCATTAATTACGATTTCCTGTAAGATCAGTTGAAAGAAAAATTACTTTTAAATGCTATTCCATCGATTATATTTATCTCTTTTATAAAAACCACCCTCAAAAGTATGCATGTATATAGAAATTTCTTTTTTCCCGGCATCTATATACCGTCCTTCTGCAGAGGCAGCATTTGTTTTATAAAACATCACATATTCGTAGTTGACTAACTTTCTGATTTCGTCAGCTGCTCTTTTCACTTCTTCTTCATTATCGGAAGCGGAAGTATAGCACATAGTCACTCCTTTCTCTCTGTCAGCAGCTGTTGATGACTTAATACAAACGAGCGTGCCATTCTCAATCAAGCTTCGCAGGACAATCCACCTGTGGTCTATTTTTTCTAAATCACCTTCAGCAAACAATAACCATTTTCCACCCTTTCTTTTCTCTTCATCTTCTTCGTTTACACCTCGAGCTGGATAATATGTATAATCGATATGATCGATATCTGAAGGCAGAAGAGTCTCATCAGATTCTAGAAAAAATAAAATGGATTTTTTTATTGTTTCTGAAACTATTAAACAGCTAGTTTAAAATAAAAGCAGATATTTATAATCTAACATCACATAATATATTACACATAATATATTAAACCCTATCCCAGTAATAAAATATGTGGACACTGATAGATCTTGGTATATTTCAATAAAAGTATAAATCCTAATTACAGATATTGGGTTTATATTATGCCACCAATACTTAGCTAACTGAGTGAATTAAGTTGCCATAATTGCTTCTTTTTTATCCAGATTTTGATTAAAATTAAAAAAGTTTTGATTAAAATTGAATTTATGAGAAAATCAAATACATCAAAACCCAAAATTATAGAATATGTAAACTATTATATGTATTTCATAGAATAAAACATAGATTCTAATTTATTCCTTGCATTACAATTATACAACGAAATAGGTATTAACTGAAATTTTAAATAAATAGCAAAGTATTAAAAAGAAAAAAATAAACGCAGAAATAGAAGCTATTGGTTTAGAGGAAACGTAGAAAATCGCCACACGTATTATGGACGTCAATTCTATTTTATTAATTTCGGTAATAATTACTAATGATACTACGGTAATTAATATAGTTTTAATAGGAACCACATATACTAATATTTGTACAGGTGTTATTATGGAATAAATGGAACACATTAAAAAAAATACCAGATACTTAAAATTATATATATAACATCCCGACACGTTTTGCACAAATTTCGTATTTTGCCATGTATAATTATATTTTTTAAAATGATGTCGAAATTATTGTATACCTTACAATTCAAAATTTTTTAGACCATTAGTAAATAAAATAATAAAAAATAATAAATACTTACTAAAAGTAATTTTTTGCCTGGAATTATTTCTGGATAAACTAATTTTAAATTTTATAACTGTGCGTAATATTTGAGATTATATCAGTTGCATGCTGGAATAATGTTTTAGAGTTAACAGGAATACTTTTTTGAGTCATGAAACGTTTTTACTCAAACATTCTGAATTTTTTTTATAAAAATTAAAAGGTTTCGGTTCATATCTTTTGTAAAAAAATATTGCCAAAGATATGCATTAACAGTTATCACTGTAAACATATGCAAATATTCTATGAAAAAAATTGAAGTAATATCTTGTTTAGATGCTGAGAAAAGATGCATTGAAAAAGGTTAGTTTTAGCATGATAGGCATATACCACACTGACTCCCTTTAATTATTTTGATAATAGGCATTACTGGTATTATGGTGATTGGTGCAGTTTTAATATGCACCAAATACATTAATACAGTAAAAAGTATTATATTATTATATTCCGTATCTATTTAAACTTCAAAACTGCATAATATTGTATTGTTTTAACACGGATACTGGGGAATTAGGTTTCTACGGCCCCTCTAAAGGAATAAGTATCGGGAAAAAAATTTTGATAGCAGTAAAGTTTGACTATCATGAGTTAGTTTCAAGCAGCTAAATGATACTGAAGTCAAAATGATACTGACTATTAATCTTAAGCATCTGAAATTGTGGAATAATTGAAAATGAACAGCTAAAACCACCGAAAAAAGGTAACGAATAATTATTAAAAATCGGAAAAAGATTTTGAATTATTTTCTAGCTTTATTAATTTTGTCAAAATATATTTTTTCAAGTTTTATTCATGATTACGCAGTGTTGTTCAAACTGATTCATTGATTAGTTTTGTATAATATAAGTTGTTTCTAATATATAAGTTGTTTCGTAATTCATAGCTTAAAAAATACATTCTGTGCATAGTTTGCGCAAAATATGTCTGAAACCTAAGAAAGGAATCAATTTCGGACTTATTAATATTTCATATTTACGATCATAAAAAAATCTTAGAAAAAAATTTAAAAAAATTCTTAGAAAGCAATAAAAAATAAGTTCAATTAAAACAAAATTTATATGCATAATTTATTGATCAAAGTATCATGATACACTCATTAGCAGCACGAGGTTAAGTTTTTTTTCATCGTTGTAATTTATGAGTTTAACTCTAAAAATATACAAACACAATGTAAAAATTTAGATGTGAAATGAAAAAGTCACAATAAATGTTTAACGCAAATTGCACGTCAAATAAACAGAATTTCATTTGGATAAAAAAATTCTTTATTTAAAAAATTATTACAAAGTATTTTTCCAAATCTACATAAATTTCTATAATTTATATAATATATAATAACATCCTTTATATAATAATATCTCATATATAATAATTTCATTAATTATATAAAGAATATTCGTTATAACTTTTTTTTAATATTTTGCATTGCACTTTTTTAAACTATTAGAAAGATCACCTAAAATTATGTGAAATTTCATTGGAAAATGAGTTTTATTTTTTATAAATAAAGCATGAAAATATGCTTAGAAAACTCGAGATTAGATAATACTTTAAAGATCTGTTAAAATGGTTTTATATTCCTTTTTAACAGGTATTAAAGTAACAAAAACAATAAAAAAAAATTTATATTATGATTAAGTTACAAAATAACTCAGTATTTTTAACTGAAAACCGTATTCTGGCTAGAAGTAATAAGAATTCATTTTCAACAAATGTATTTCAAAATTGGAACTCCTTAAAAAATAAATTATTCAAAATTAGATGCATTCTTATATTCAATAGTCTTTGAACATATTTAAAGAAATGTTTATAATTATTATTCTGCTATAATTATAAATGTCAATTAAATATAATTATAAATGTTAATTAAATATAATTATAAATGTTTAGAATAATAATTATTATGTTGCAATTAAAGTTCAATACCAGCAAAACTCACTCATTGAAATCAATTAATTTCCAATTATTTTCAATATATTCATAGAACTCTTTTTCACACGTCCTCATGTACAAAGGCTTTTTTTCTTGAAAATATAAAAAACAATATGGATAATACCCGATTTTTTCAACCAATATATCTGCAACTTTAGCAACGTGTACTTTATCTTCATAATTAGAAGTGTAACAGTTAATGCAAATAGTTCCATTGGGTTTCTGAAACACTTTAGGATGACGAGTAGCAAACAACTCCGCATTTTGTTCATGAAGTTCATTCACACACATCTGAACGTGTTCTATTTCCGTTAATCCATTATCAAGTACAATATCAGGAGCACAAGAAATAGTCCAGTTGCCTCTGTTTGATTTATCTCTATTTGTAAGATATGTCGATCTGTTTTCAAATGATCTAGATTGATTTTCTCTTATATCATCGTTCCACCGCTTTCTGGACTCAGAACTATCATTTTGTTTCAATCTTTCATATTTAAAGTGGGGGTCTCTCCAACTTAAAGAACTTGAAACGGAAATAGATTCTTTCTTTTCCTTTGGATTAGGGTTTCGTAAACTCCTCCAATTTGTTGCTTCAGCTCCTAAATTAACCGCTTCAGTAGTTGATCTTATATTATGAGTATTTTGCTTTGAAGAAATTTTATTTGCAAGAAATGTGTCTCTAAATGATGGTTCAGGTCTTTCTATGTTTCTAATTGATTCTTCATGACTGAGGTTATCGGCCGTAGATTTCTTTTTAACAGTAATTCCTGAGGAAATGAAAAATTATTTTCAGTAAGAATTGAATCAAACATCTTAAAGTATTATTTCAGAGTGCCTAAGCATTTTGTGGTTTAGATTTAAAATCAATACTGGAACGAATAAATTTATGTGAATGCATCAGTTTTTAGAAGAAAAAATTCATGATTAAATTGATTGGTAGTAATTTCGTATTATTCTTGGTAATTGTGGATATCTAAATTAAATTAAGGTTGCTTACTGGAACCCTAAAATGTGTTGTACATTGTGTTATGAAACCAAAAAAATTCGAATCATGATGAGATCAAAAACATTTTATGTAATAAATTAATGAAATTTATAATGTTTTAGTGATCGATAACTAAAAGGCAACAACATAAAAATAAATACTTTTTCTGAACTACTACTAATAATTGAGATGCGAGATGAGATTGGTCATCTTTCTCAAACAGATTAATAGAATGCCATGTCAGATTGGTGTGAGCTTCCAGGTGAAACTGTTATTTGCCTCAGTAACCAGTAGAAATTAATCTATAAGCCTTTGTAAATTCGAATTTTATTTCAAAATTTTCCAGAATTTGTAGCTACTTCCCTAGTTTTTAATCAAGATTTCTGATATGTGATCAATTTTTGATAGAGAATTCAGAGTTTCTTTAAATTTTTTACCTAGTTTTCGTATTCAAGAAAATTTTTAATTATTAAAAAATGTCTAGATGAGCTGCCTTTTCCAAGAAATTATTTTAAAAGAATTTTTGTCCTATTTTTAAAAACAAGGAGGATTGTTCAGTTTATTTTAGAAATTTAAAGTTGTTTCTAATTTTAAGATTGTAACTTTTTCTTATTTTCATGATACATTAAAGCTATCAATAATAGAAAAAATTCATTAAAAAAATGGAAAAAATTAAAATGTCTGATTTGTTGCTTTTTTAGGTAACTATATTATTCAAACTAAGTATCCAAATTAATTAATTAATAAGACATTAGCCCACAAAATTCGCTGTTGAATAATTTTATATGTCAATGTTAACTCATACAAACAACTTGGTGCTGTCTAGGAACACAATTAACAGATCCCCATGTAAATATGCAAGAACAGATGCCCATATATATATGAAAAATATATTGCTTTACAGATAGTTAATATTTTTAGTCAGCAGCGCCATCTATTTATCAGAATCCATGTTGTTGTTGCAAGTATCGGAATCGACTAGCAGTGCTAGACGACTCTCATTAATCCGAACACCTCCCGAAAAATCTATAAAAAGACTGGAGTCTCGCAGGACCTCTTCTTTACCGAATCCCAAACAAGTCAGAATATGCGTAGGGGAGGCCATGTCTGTCGAGCACCAATGACATTCTGGATAATTTTTTTGGCCCTGGTTGAAAGTAAGGGATCTAGTGTGGCCACTCAAGAAGCGTGAAAAGGCAGTTTGATGGGCTCTCGGTCTAAGATTGAAAGATTCTCCCGGTTTTTTTGCAAAATACCAAGAGTGGTTGGGAGGAGTTCTTATGGTCTTGTTTAATTTCATTTTTATCAGGGAAGAAATTCACTAAAGGTAAGCTTCCCACAATGATCAGTGTCTTCTTCGGCAGCGGTTTTGGCCAGGAAGTCGGCCCTCTCATTCCCATCAACCCCAACATGTGAGGGAATCCACTGAAAGTGTATAGAATGGTTGGATGAAAGCCTGTCAATTAAGTCTAAAATATCAAGGCTGGTCTGATCTCCGATAGTATCCCAATTAGAGATATGCTGGATTGAGGCACGACTATCAGTCAATACCAAATATCTTGAAAATTGTCCTTCCCGAGCAGCAAATTGCAAGCCCTTTCTGATAGCAATAAGCTCAGGCCTAAAAACTGAGCTGTTGTTGGGATTTTTGATCTTGTATTCAATAGCACCCGTGGAAGTTGGAATATACACTTCACTACCGGAAATTCTTCCGTTACCTCTGCTGCCATCAGTGTATATTTTTAAGAAAGCACGGATAATATTCTGGATAGTCTCCATGGTCTGACCTCTGACAGAGTCTGGGAGCTCAGAATTTTTCGTCACACTAGTCAAGAGTTCCTCGTGAAAGTGAATTGCAGGCTGCCTCAAAGTGTGCTCAAGTAACCGGTGAGGGGGTGTACCTGGGCGGAGTGGCTGAAGTGCGTCGGGAGTATATACTCCTGGTAGGGTCACCCTAGGCGTGAAGGTCACTCCATTATACTCAGGTAAAGTCTACAGGCACTCAGGGCTAAGTCAGTCCTCTCCCTCCGGTGCCCTAGATCTTCTGGTTAATTGAAGCTGCTCAAATTCTCTTCACGTGAATCCGGCTACTACTGAAATTGATCAGAATCCATTTACAAATTCAGCAGTATCTGTTCTTCTGTTAATTAATCAGAGATCTTAACTGTTAAAGACCAAATCCAGTTATCTATTAACCCTTTGACGCAGATGGGACCTCGGTGTCTGTTTTATATATTTTTTCTGGAGCTCTTATTAAAAGCAAATACATATTTTGATACTTTTTAACTTTATAAAAATAGTCGAATAGTTACAAAAAAAATCTGTTAGATTATCAGAAGCAAATTCGTACTAAAATATGAAATCCAAAAAAAGTAGCTTGAATTTTTTTTTCATTCAGATTCAAAAATTTATGAGTAAATGATTTTGTAAATTAAGGAACTTTCAAAGATGAATGACTGTTAAACTAAGATCTAAACAAGTGCAGATTTAAAAATCTTTGATTGAAAGTGAGCCGCATTTACCTTTAACGCAAAAAATGTGACCAGCGTTGCTGTCAATATGCTGTACCTCATAATCATACATTTTAAAAAGCTAAATATAATATTTTTTACTTATTTTGACTTTCATTAATACAAAAGAATGAAAAAAGGATGAAAAAAGATTGATTTTTAATAAAATTTATTTACTGAAATATTTGCGTATCAGACCAAGCACTTTTTTAAATAGAAAGATGCAATATTTTTCTAGGAAATATTATAGTGCTTATCTTATTATGTGTAGGAAGCTTTTTCAAAGTAAAATAAAAAATATTGAAATACATTGTTACAAATTAAATACAAATTTGACATCTATTTGACATCTATACTGTTTAAACAAATATCTTTTTTTTATTGAAAAGCCCCCGATTATTTTAATGTATCAGTTTCAGCTATAACATATTCAAAAAGTCTCAATGATAATTTTTGTAATTTTAATTTTAAAAAATCAAATTATTTAATTTTTAGTTTTAAAAATAAATTTAATCAACTTAGGTTTACAAAATAATTTTAATTAATTTCAACTTCAAAAATAATTCAAATTAAATTTAAATTTAAAAAGGATTTTAATTAATTATATATTTAGAAGTAATTTTTAGTCATTTTAAGTTTAACAAGCATTTTAGTTTCAGAAAAAAAATTTATTAAGTTTTAAAAATAATTTTGATTAATTAATTTTAAAATGACGATTTATGTATTAAAATTTCATAAATATTACTTATTTGAAATAAAAATTTTTAATTTAATTTCAATTTTAAAAAATCGCCACATAAATCATGTAAATGAGTTTGCTAAAAGTATTTAACAAGGCAACAGAAACAACGAAATTCTTATTTACCTTTCTCAGTTGTGGAAGAATGAGAATTGCTATTCGTTTCTTTCACTTGAAGTAATTTCAAATCATCTTCTAGCTTTGCTTCCTGATCCTTGTTTACTTTGGAATCCTTCTTTGTCTTTTCTATTGCATTTTCTTCATCACTATCAAAAGATGACATCACGGCACAAAAAATTAACGTTCTTCGCTCTGCAAAATAATTTGAGAATGTAACACATTTTAGCATACAATCAACGATGGATTTTTTTTCTCCATCTTTAAAAATCAACGATAAAATACAAGTAACGTTTTACTGCTCACCAAAATGTTCTAACCATGATATGAATGAAATATTGTGATCATTAATTAAATTAAGTTCGCAAAGTTTTCATTTTAATGTTTTTAACTTAGAGAATTCTAAATCGATTTCTTAAAACTACTTTTTATTATTTTTAAACGTTTTTGAGTGAATAATATCATAAAAGCTCTAAATTTTAAAAATTAGGATCAAGTAATAAAATATATAGAAGTATATGCAAACAAAAGCAATATCTATCGCTCAATTCTATCAGTAGTAAAATTCAAAAACTAAATAAATAGATAAAAATTTCATTTGCGATAGTTATCATTGCGATATTTATGTCAATATTTAAAGTACATTCACAGATTCATCATATAGAATTAAATTGAATGAATAAAAAAATTACATAATTAGGCCGTAAATAGAACTACTGTTTTTAATTTAGTGGCTTTAAAATTGCAGAAATGATTAAATATTTAAGCCAATAAAACTAGTTTTGCTTTTAGCTTCGATTTAATTTTCGTTTTAATTTACCTAGAGAATTATAAACGGTTTTATTAAAACTAACTTTTGTACTATTTTTCAAAATTTTTCAACGAGTAATTTTTTTAAACTTCTAAATTTAAAAAAATAATCATGCAGAAATAAAATATATAAATGCAAATAAAAACAATATCTACCGTTTTATTTTATCCAAAGTAAAATTTAAATTATCTAAAGTAAAATAAATCAAAATTTCATAAGCTGAAAAAGTTTTCTGTGGTTCCGAATATTTATCATTATGATAGTTATGTCAATAAGGAACATTCATAGTTTCATAGATTCACCATATAGAATTAAATTAAATGAAAATAAAAACTGTATATTTAAGTCATGAATTGAACTACTGTTTTCAATTTAGTTGCTTTGAAATTTCAGAAATCATTAAATAGTTAAACCAGAGAAACTAATTTTGTTTTTCTTTTTAATATTCTATATTCAAACATTTGCAATATAGACCACCTTTAAAAAATTCCCAAAACTATTAAACATCTTTGAGAAATCGTTAAGCACCTTTTAAAAATGTCCATTGTAAATATTTTCAACTTAAACATTCGCATTCAAAATCATTAACATCATTAACATCAGAATCATTAACATTTAAAATCCTAATAAGGAGGTACACCAAGTGTCAATCGTCAAACGAGCTGCTTATTACTTGCCGACGTACAATGAAAAATTTGAAGAATTTATTTTAACTTTATTGAATTTCGCACCAAAATTGGTCATAAATTAAAAAAATTTATCATGAATTAAAGCATTACATTCTCATCTCTATTCAATCAAGAAAAATAGCTATTTCTAAAACATAAGATTTAAATCATATGACTAACTTAAAAACAAATTTAAAACAACATAAATATCTGAGTATCTTTTAGAGAACAAATGAATGTGATAAGGAAAAAAATTTCAAATAAAATCAGTAACCACTTTTAATAGCATGAATAATTACCTGAAAATGCAAAGTATTGAAGATAACTCAACAATGGATTCAAACTGATCAGCAATAAAACTAAACTCGAAAAAGCAACAGCGTCTCTTTAAAAAGTTGATTTTATCTTTTCCTGTTCTTATCACAATACTTTATCTTTAAAATTTCTAATTCCTTTCGATCAAAAATTTTACATACTTCTCCTATAAATAATAAAGCATTAAACAATTTTTTAAGTTCAATTTTTAATAATTTTAATCGTAAGTAAATGTTTTTTTAATGAATATATAATTGCAATGATCGCAATCAGCTTGGTTTTTGAAATATCTCAAAAAGACACACTGTAACAAAACCCGAATCAAATTACGGTAAAAAAACAAAAAAAATCAGGGTGCCGGTACTTTTTAAGGTAAAATCTAATTTTACCGTAAAATTTTATAGAGCAAGAAGTGAGACAATGAGAAATGGAGGCTAAGTTCGAGTATAGTTACAATTTTTATTCTCAAAGCTCTAAGATATTTCCCTCATCCTTTATATTACAAAGAGTAATAATATTGAAGCACAGAAGCTTTGTTATGAGGCTTTTCAGATTTAGACTAAAAATGCAATATGACAGAATATTTGATTTTTTTTTTAAAATCAATAATGAAGGGAATCTTTATAAAGGTGTTTTTTTTTTAATTTTTTTAATTTTTTGCTGATCTCTTATTACTGATCCCTTATTTTACACTTAAGCATCAAAATTAAGCAGTAAATGCTATTTTATCCATAGTAACGCAAAATAAAATTATATCTGTAAAAAATGAGAATCGACCTTAACTGTTTTTTTTAACTTAAACAGTGAACGGCAGACATGATTGATAGTCTATTTTTTTTTTCAAACAATCGCTATTTATTAGAACCTATCAGACAATTAAAAGTTTTAATTCTTCCACACATTAGTATTATTTTGACGATTTTTACGACCTAAAACTACTAAAACTCTTAGCTGATTAAAAAGTTCATTCGCTTCAAAAATACGTAAAAAACAGTCGATATGTTTCATGTGGTCATGTGATGTGTTTTTTTAGCTTTGTTTCTAACCAAAATCTTTCATTAAGATTAACACAGTAGATAAGTAATTTAAGAACTAGTTATATTGATTCCAACAATTATAAAAAATTATAAAAAATGAAATTTTTTTCTTTTGAAACATTTCCTCATTTTATCAGCCCTACAAACACAAACGCCAAAAAACTAGAATGAAAATGCAAATAGACTAGTTGAATAATTCTTATATTTTAGTAGTTTCATTGAAATTCGTTCAAAATGTAATGTAAATCACGCTAAGTATAGTTATGATAATGCCATAAAAGAATGACACATCCCCTATGGCATAATCACAATCGCAATGTATTAAATTGAAAATATTGAGATAATATCAATATTAAGATCGATATTAAGACACGATATCAAGATAATATCGATAAAAATATTAAACACCCTCTAAAGTTGGCAATATGATAGCATTTCACAAAACTTTTTACGTATATTATTTTGAATGTCATTACACTAAACAAAAGCATCAACGGAAGAAGCTTTAAACTTCGACTGCCATGTCGATGAGTGATTGGAATTTTCGTTTTTAATTTTGTTGAGCAATTAAGTCTGTGAATCTACCCATATGTAGTATAAACCTCTTACCGATTTTACTATTTCACTCGTATCGATTTCATAATTACTTTGTATTTATACGCATCAGTATAACTAAAAACATTTAATAAAACCACTGCAAAATCTGACATTTTTTAAGTAATTTTAATTATTTCATAATGATGTTTCTATTTGAAGTCGATGATGCAATCCAAAATATTCTGAATTTCTTTAGGTTTTTTTCCAATAATAATAATCATAAATTCACTGATTTAATCATACGAAAGTTTAGGTTTCCTATTTTGAAATATAAATCATGTGCACTTTTGTAGAGGCTGGAAGGGGAATACCCTTTATTTCTGTCTAATCAAAACAATGGTATAAACAATTACTTATCAAGTAAACCTTTGACTGACAGTGTTTCAGATACTGTATTATTTTCTGTCTACATCATGATAAGTAAACGTTGTTTTCTCAGTAAAAAAAGGAAAAGAAAAAAAGGAGAGAAAATAATATTTTTTTACGCATTTGAAAATATTTAGTTGAAAATATCAGGCAATAAACTTCGAGATCAGAAACTAATCTGGTAACTTTTGTTTGTTCACTAAAATAGTTTGCCCTAAAATAGTATAAACAATATCACTTAACCTGAATTTAAATCACGAATTTCTTGATAGACTGTAGATCATTTAAAGACTTTAGAATTAACTTTTCTAAATTTTAACTGAGTTAGTTAATTTCTAAAGTTTACAAATAGTTTGTTTTCTAATAAAAGTATGTGACAGCTCTCCGCAGTTAAAAGAAATTTTGGAGAATTGAAAATTTGGAGTTATAAAAGAGATAGATGCGGACACGTAGAAAAACTTTTTATACTATTATTATGATTTTTTTATAATTTTATATTTTAATTAACTTTGCTCAGATTTTCAAATGATGGTTTAATATTTTTTTTGGTTATATCTTTACAATGCTATTAAAAAAAATTCAAAAATGTTCCAATAGTAGAGAAAATATAATATATTATATATGATAACTTAGTTTCTAATGAAAGTATGTGACAGTTCTCCACAGTTAAAAGAAATTTTGGAGAATTGAAAATTTGGAGTTATAAAAGAGACAGATACGGACACGTAGAAAAACTTTTTATATTATTATTATGATTTTTTTATAGTTTTATATCTTAATTAACTTTGCTTTTAAAATAATGGTTTAATGTTTTTTTGGTAATATATTTACAATGCTATTAAGAAAATTTAAAAAATGTTCCAATAATAGAGAAAATAATTTTAAATAAGAATGATTAAACAGAATTTTATTGCATAAAAAATAGATAAATAAATAGAAACTCTATTTTATATACTAATTATAATTTGAAAATAGAAACCATTGTCTTTGTCTTGAGGAACTATGAAAGAATTGTAAGAAAATAAATTCTCCATGAGGTATTTTTAATTTCTTGAAAAATAAAAATTTTGGAACAAATATTTTTAACAAATATCTTCCTTGACTTTCAAAATATTTTTTTACTGCTGATGCTGCCATCTCTTGAATATTATCTATATTAATAAAATCAGGAGTTTTTTCTGTGTATCCCTCTTTTTACTCCACAACTTTTGTTTTATCATCTTGAAATTTGAACAGCAGCAAGAAGGGGTAATTTCATCCCTCGTTCCTAAAACTCGTACAAAAATTTTACTTAGGATATGGAGACAAAGAGAAGTTTGAAAAGAGAAAATTTATCATTAGTTAACTAGCCATTGTAATAAAGAAACTGCAAACGATTCCATTTGTTTGTTGTTTTGTTTTTTGTTTTTCAAATATTTAAATGACAAAATAAATGTCTGATAACTTACAGCTCTACAAGATTGAAAACGATTTTCAAAGGAACTTTTTAACATGCTCTTAAATCATTGTTGGAGGTAACTTTATCGATAAGTGTTTATAGCTGTGAATTGATCGAGAATCGACCTGCAGGCTTTTTTCTGTTTTTGGTAATTCTGAAAAAGATAGCTTACTTCAGGCAATCCATGACGACATTTTTAGGAATTGTGACAGCGTAATCCATCATATTTTCAATTTTTATTGAGTTTGATTGTATATTTATAGTCTAATTAAATTACTTTTCATACCATCACAGCCTTAAGGGAATTACTAGTGGATTTCTAGTACTAGTGGTAAGTTCTACTTTTTTCTTATTAATCTTTTAAAAATTTTAATTGCTCTGACATATGACTATTAGTTTTTTGCGTGATCGCATAATTTCTTTTAAATTCAATTAAATTAAATTCTTATAGAAAATTTGAAAGTTTCGTTATAAAATCGAATGCATAAAAAATGTGGAATGTAAACTGTAAATGTATCAAATAGCTTTTAACTTCAGTTTGAATACTCTATACTCTCTTTTTTATTTGAACTAGTTTAGTTCAAAAATAGAAAAAGTGTTTAAAAATATTTTTAGTGACTAGATTGTCACGGAATGAGTCGGATACTATTTATATTAGTAAATTATATTTTGTATATTAAATTATATCAGTATATAGTATTATATTAGTATATAGTACTTAGTTTTAGTGACATTAGTATTTAAACTGTTTAATTATCTAATATCTGTTGTATTTCTGTTTGTTTGTTATGTTTTATTTTTACTCGTTTGCAATATACGATGATAGGAATATTCACTGTTATAATTTTTTTGATATACGAAATAATATTTGAGTCTCGAGGAGAAAAAATGAGTTCTTGATCTGACTTTAATCTTTTAAATGAAAGTTTTAAAAAATATTATTTAAGTACATTTAAAGTAACTCAATTTCCAATAGTATTAATCGTAACGATAAAGTTCTCACTTACAGAAATTAAAATAAATAAGTTTATATGCGTAAAAAAAGCAGCCAATCATTGACACCAATGATGCTTTGTTGTGATAATAGGCGTTAATTAAAGTAAAATAAGTTACGTCAGGGCATAAAATTTCAGTTCTAAAGTACTTGCTGGACGAAACTTTTCGCTTGCCACTTTTCTGAATAAATATAAACTATTTATAATTTAAATGTTAATAGATGTAGTTTAAAAAACTTTTTGCTGCCCAAAACAATAAAAGAGTGTAGAAAATGAAAAACTAAAACACGTTTATTGTTAAAAATATAAATAAAAATTAAAAAAAGAACGAAACGCAAATATTTGGTTGAAAAAACGGCGTCTCAAGAGATAGAGCGCTCATCTCACGTGAGCTGATTCAAGTTCGAATACCAGCTGTACCTGGTTAATACGATATCTGCTCCTAGCTCTCACCGACCACAATGGTGATGTAAAATATCTTGAATGGAAGACGAATCATGGGTTAGAATCCCTTTGCCATAGAGCTACCCGTAGGAGGTTTTCGTTGTTTTTATCACCATGTCACGCAAATACACTTTAGTATGAGTAGGCTGTTTAATGCCGGTTATTAAATAAAATAAAATGGTTTCAATTTTATCTACCATATGATTAAAAGTTATTTATTAATTATCAGAAAATTAAGATATCATAAATGTTCTCATAC